AAAATAAAAAAATTGTTACATAAATAAATTTACTTTTTATAATAACAAATGACCAAAACATAATTTTAGGTATGTTTTAAAAGGGCTTAATACAAAAATAAGTGTCCAAACTATGACTCGAAAAAATATTTTGGTGCCTAATGAATTTTTTGCTAAAAATAGGTGTCTAACATTTTCTCGGTTATATTTTTTAGGTGCCTATAATTATAATTTTTAATTTTTTGATTTTTTATAAATAAAAATATTATTTTAAAAAAACTAAAAAAACTAAAACCTCTCATTTCAACCCCCATTACCAACCATTATCGGCCATCTCCGGCCATCATCATCATCGCCGAACAATCACCCACCTGTCGCCACCCACCTATTGATCAATAGCCACCCTTACCATCCCTCAAATTCCCTAAATCTCTATAATATCCAATATCTAGATCCCTAATCCTTTAAAATTCTAATCTCCAAGATAGAACGTCGGAAGAGCAATAACGACAAGGAACATGACAACCTGAGTTTTGATCGAAATTGCACGGTGGTTCAAATGGTGGTGGCGGTGTGGCTTATGAAAGTCAGGATCAATAAAGAACAACGAAAGTGGCTTAAAGCCTGATGAACCTTTGAACGCTTCTTAATGCAATCAATGTTAGATTATGATGAAAGGGAAACGAGAGATTGATCGGGAGTTGAAACAAGTGCTAATGACGATGGTGATGATGGTCACGGCTAGTCGGTGACTAGGGAGTGGAAAAGGGACAAGGGGAGAGGTGATGAGAAACGAAGGGGAGCATGAGCTGTTTGTTTGTTTTTTTTAATAAATAATAATATTTTTAATTCTTTAAATAATTTATCAAAACTACTAGAACGTGACATGTGTCACTTAATGGAGATTTTTAACAACATTTAATATATGAGCATCTAAAATTATAATAGAGAAAACATTAGACGCCTATTTTTGTAACACCCTAAACCTGATTGGGCATAAAGTGCCACATTGGGCTACCGAGGCAACCCCTAATTTTCAAAACCTATTTATTTTCCTTTTAAACACACTGAATGTTATCATAAATAAAACAAAAATAACTGGTATAAACACTTTACAAATCGGAGCTTCGTGACACATAATTTAAAACCAAAATAACACAACCTTTTAGTTTAATATACTGAATACATGAGTAAGGTTCTATGGATATATATACACACTAAAGCTACAGTACAATACTCTGTCGGAGATGTTGGAAGTACTACTGTGACAGTGCTCCACGAACTACTCAAGTTACTGACCTGCTAACGAAAAACATCTAAGGGTGAGCTTACAAAGCCCAAAAGTATAATCGCTAATCTAGAACAACATAAGAATTTCATAAACACATGCATGTTGAAAACATGGTACTAAACAATATGTACAAGCATGACCTAGATCAAGTTCTACCTACTTAAGGCTTTACTGTTCTATAACTGAAATAGGAGTCTCATGCTTCCCTTAGTACTCTGCTAAGGGCCTCGCTATGAGTACACCACTAAAGAGTCTCTAACCCTAATGCTTGTACTGCTAAGCATTATTTAAATGCGACATTAATACTCATGTGCATTATCTGAATGTTAACCTGAACATAATATGCATTATATGAATGAGCCCTGACTAGTATCTGGTCTCACAAGCCATCAAACACTAGTTATAGGGGAACCCGATGTCAAATAGCATCGGTGCAATTCCCACTACACATATTAAATGATCTCATGGTCCTCTCATAGCCATCAGGTATATCATTGAAGAGAACCCGATGTCACATATCATCGGAACAATCCCCGTTTATCTGAAGCATTAACTCAGTCTCACATAGCCTTAAAGCCAAGCTTTAACATATCCGATATACTGACTGATGGAACAATACAAACATGTCTAAGGTCAAAAGACCACAAAACACCAACATCACTAACCCACTCCTCGCGAGTGTTTGGGCCTCGCGCCCTAGTTAGCTCCTAAAGTGCCTCGCGTACTAACATTGCCCTACTAGGACAACTAAGGTAACTTGGCTATACCCTAGTATAATGTGACTCATTAAAGTGAGGATATCCTCTCACTAGATGATATATTGCTCATTATCTCATCTAGAACGTTATGTGAAGGCTTATTAGTATGTTATTGTTGTTCGTTATTAAGTTGCACTATTCTGGTTGTTCATTTCTTAATGGCATTTTAGTCATTCTTTGCATCTAGAGAAGTCTCCATATGTTTTGGGGCTTTTATGACAATTTATGTGATTGTTGTTCATTAGATGTACTATTTTCTAGCCTGATATTGACCCGGGTTCAACTCTGATTAATGACACTCTAGTCACTCTTGCTACGCTTTCCTTTAATTCACCCTCGAGTTAGAGGGACGACTGTACGTCCACCATTCACTGACATTCTTGTGGTATATGATTTATATATTTCGTAGTCTGATTAGTTTATCATAACGCTTGTCGGTATATCATTTATAATGATCATTCGTTCTTAGTTACTCACTCTAAGGCCCAAAAGGGTAATTTGGTAATTTTAGCCCCTAAGGGCATTTTAGTAATTCTCTCACACCCGAGATAAATATTCGATCTCAAACGATATTAAACTCCTCACTCTTGAGTCTATTTGATATCTTGAAGTCACTCAACCACTTTAGGTATTGATACCAAGCCTTTAGTATGGATACCCGATCTTTGATACGAAGTCCAATTTTTCAGTATAGAGACCAACGATCTCGAGGCTGAGCATCCGATCTCGATACCGAGCATATGACATCGATACTACAACCCTCAGTATTGATACTAGGGGGTTAATATCGATACTCTTTCCCTAAGTATCGATATTCCCTACTTGAAACCCTAATTTTTACCCCAAAATCAACCAGTATCGATACTGATAATCCCAATATCGATACTCAAACCTTGAAATGGTTATTTTAGGCTCGAAAAACATTTAAAAATCACCCTAAAGGCCATAGTTTGATTCTAAATCATGCATTGAAGTTTTAGAGAGTTAACTAGAGTATTAAGGTGTCATAAAAACACTTCCTTAACACCTAAAACATCTTTTAATCTTGAAATCAATTTTAAACCCTAATATACTCAATTACACAAATCTTAGAAAATTCTTGAAATTTATGAAAGTTTAATACTCCAAAGAATTAAAAATACACTACCTTGATGTTTGAATCTCGAAATGAACGTCTTTTAGCTAAAAAACACTTTTTTTTTTAACTTGGTTGATTTTTCACCCTTTTCCTCTAACCATCACATATACATGGATTTTCTTAACATAAGAATGTTATAGGAAGTAAGGGGGATGAATTTACAACTTATTAAAGTTTAGCTTCAATTTCCAACAATGTTCTAATTCTCTTTTGGTCCTTCACACTTTGTCTCATATTTAAAAACCCCTTTTTGTGGCTAATTGGACCCAAATCCAAACCCAACGATTTTGCTTATGAATTTCACGAGGTCCACTTACCTCTCGGGTAAGCTCAAAACTACTATCCCGAAATTTAGGGTGTTACAATTTTTAATGAAAAATTCTTTTGGTACTAAAACGTTTTTGAAGTATATTTTAGACACTTATTTTTATATTAAGCAATTAAAAAAATAATTGTTTGATCAAAAGGAAACAACGAGAATGATTGGATGATTAAATACACAATTAAATATGAATTTTAAATTTTAAATAATATATTAAATATATGAATTTATATACATCCAAATTCAAATCACTAAAATTAGACACCCAAGTTCGAATTCTCTTAAAAGCAAACATATTTTATAATCTGGAGTCAAGTTTGAAACAACTTACCTTAGTGGTTAAAGAATTCGTTATTGTTCCTAGAGGTAATGGGTTCGGGCATCAGCGACTGCAACATGATGATTAAGTGTTCATTGTTAAATAGTTGAGAATATTTAGAACATATATTACTTTGTAATCATCTTAGCTTAATAAAAAAAAGTAAAGTGGATTTAAATAATAAATATCTGCACAAACCGAGCGACCTCAATAGTAAAGAAATTGTTGTTATTCCTTAATGTCTCGGATTCGAGCACTAAGAATATCAAGAGTATGAGCGTTCAATGTCAAATGATTTAGAGTCATCATTGAACATATATTACTTATACTTACCTTATAATAATAAAAAATAAAAAATTGAAAGTTTACACAGGTGAATATCCAACAAATATTTATCATATTTCTATATACACTGATTAATTAAAAAATTGAGGGGCAACCGCGCCTACTTAATACACAGCTCGGTCTCCTGATCATATGAAATTTCAAAACAATAGTCTAAATTTAAATTTTAAATTTAATTACTACATAAATCATCTAAATCAGTAATTTGCATATAACGTTGATTAAGCTCCGGGTGTAGATTTTTTTATTACTATTGAGTTATTACAAAACTATATAACTTTCTATATATATATTTGAAAGATTAACTAAATAATGAATATTTAAATATTTTTATTAATTGCGTATTCAAATTCAGAATATTTAAAATAACAAAATTTCTTTTACTCACTATTGAATTTTAATATCTTTATAAATATTATATAAAAAAAATTAAAAATTAAAAATTATTTTATTAATTTATAATGAGTACAAGATAATATATGTTTAAAGATAACTTTCAACCATTTGACGTTGTACGAGCATACCCCTTAGCTCAAGAAAAAAACAACAATATTTTTACTAACGAGTCCGCTTGTTTCGTTCAAATTTTATTTTAATTTAAATATATTTTAATTATCAACTTTATTATACTTTTGTAATCGTTAATATAAATAGATTCTATTAAGTGTATTTATTGTAATTTTGTAGATTAAATTTTTTTTGACAGTTAATTGATTATCTTAGTGTTGCTAACCGAGTTCTTCCGTCCGATAAATAGAAGAGAATATTGGCCGTTGGATTGAAAGAGGTATAGAAGTAGTGTTGAATAAGTAAAACCAGGTCTCTTCGTGGCCGCTCATTATCTCTCTCCCCGTTTCCTCTTCACCTCAGAACCCGCAGGTCGACCCAATCCGATACCCGCAAATATAACCCAATTAAATCCACTGCCCGTACCGGTACTACGTTCTACACTTTTTCCTTTTCATTTCACAAATAATTTCTTTTTGACTTCTTCTATGATCTTGTTATCAAAGAAATGTTCTTGCTGCGTGATTTTGTTTTTTAATTTTACTGCTTCCTCGTGCATCCTCTCATGTTGAAAATGAATGGTATTTTTGCGGTTCTTTCCATTTCGTTTTTAAATGGGAATGAAGTTGGTTGCATTTGCTGCTTTCTATGAATGGTATTTAACTTTTTTCGTTAATTTTAGAAGCAACAAAAACTTTAAATTTAACTGAATGTTAATTATATTCATTATTGAAATTCTAGAGCTATGATTCTTATAGATTGGGATTTGCGTTTGGTTTAGGGTATATGAGATTACCGTGGAATGGAATGTTATTTCCTGTTTAGTTTGCAAACATTTCCAACCTCAATAATCTTTTATTCTCAACAGTAATATTTTGAGATAGGGTATAAACGAGCCGAGTCGAGCTCGAGTCGTGTTGAGCTTGACTCGACTCGAAAATTCTGAAATGAAATTCGACTCGAAAACTCGCGAACTTAAAATTTTCAAGCTAGACTCGAACTCGAAATCTTGAATTGAAGCTAGTGAGTAGCTCGAGAAATCTCTAAATGACGAAAAAAATTCTTAAACTTAACTTGATTGAAGCCTTAAACTCGAACTCGAACCTTAACCTTAAATACATGAAAATCTTACTGTATTTAAAAAAATCAATACATAGATGTTAATATTATTAATAATTTATTTTTTTAAAAATAAAATATTAATATATTATGTTTTCGAGTTGCTCACGAGCTTTTCGAGTCGAATATCAAGTAACTCGTTTCGGCTCGTTAAGAACTCGAGTCGAGCTTGAGCTCGAGTCGAGTCCATTCGATCCGAGTATTTATCGAGCCTTGATCTAGTCGATCTCGAGTAGCTCGCAATCTGTCTCGTCTCATTTACAGCCCTATTTTGAAGTATATTATTGAGAATGTGATTCCTCATTCCCTTAGTTATTATTACATTCCCGGTATTTTAGACTAAAATGCCCTTAATATTTTTTAAAAATATATTCTTATTCTCTCGTTGAATAAAAAAAATTCTACGAAGGTTAAATTACAAATTTATCCTTAAACTATTGTAGATTTACAAAAAAATATTCATAATTAGAATTTTATATAAAGTTTAGGGTTTAAAATAAAATTTTACACTTTCATTAAACATATTTATCTTTTCAATTTTATAAAAAAAATAATATAAATTTTATGAATTTAAAATTTTTAAAGAAAATATATAAATTAATTATAGTAGTATTCAACTTGTTAAAAAAACAAATATATAATAAGTACAATTTGGTAAAATATACATTCCAATAATCTTTTATTCCTTTAACCAAACACTGTAATTTTACATTCTTGCTAAACAAACCAAACACAAAAATGCAACATTCTTAGTAATCTTATTCCCGTCGGTAATCTTATTCCCGCCGGTATTCTTGCATTCCGTGAACCAAACGCACCCTAAGGGAATGAAGAAAAAGAGCTTATGGAAAGAAAAGTTAATGAATCTTTTATTGGTGCTGTGTTTTCTGATTGTTCCATTAATCAGCGGTTTTATGATCAAATCGTCATTGGCGGTACTATTTAACTTGTTAGCTTTCATAGGAAATGTTAATTTGTTTTGTTCTTCACTGGTCTTTATAGATTATTTTGGGTGGTTTTGTTAATTTTTCTTGGATTAAATCTGTACATTGAGTAGCTTATGTTCTGACCATTTTTATTTTTTTTTGAACTTTAAATAATATATGCATTATCAAAATCCGGAAAAGAAAAGGACAGTTATTAAACCCTTTATTTTTCTTGTGTGATAACCTAATATACTTGTTCTCTAGCAAATATTTTGTAAGTTTAAACATTCGTTTCCATATGGCAACTACTTATAAATTGTTACTTGGTTCTTGCATCTCAGGTCTCATATCAATTTTCCTACTTGTCATTGTTTCTTCTTTGTTACCTTAGAATTAGATTATGATCATTTATGGATGATTGACTTTTTTTAATAGCATGTAAAAGAACCATAGGAATTGCCATTGCCTCGCACACAATTATTATTATGTTCCTGTTATAGATGTATTTATGTTTTGCTGACATGTACTCTGTAAAGGTTATGAACATTTCAACAGTTTTGAATATTTTGGGATCTTGGAATGTTATGAGAACCTCTATATGTGTTCTATTATTTGTTCCTATAACAAATGTGGCCTTTTTTTGGATCTTCATGATTGCAGTCTTTTACTCCCTTCTTGGTAGTTGCATTAATTATATAGGGTGCTAAGTACTTTTCTAATATGCACATATTTGCAAATTACTAGGTTCATGTCATGGATATGTCTGATGCGGTCATAGTAAATTCGAGCATATTGAAATCTATTGTCTGGAACGATTTCGATAGAGTGAAAAAGGGTGACACATTTGTGGCCATTTGTAGGCATTGTAAGAAGAAACTTAGTGGATCAAGTACTAGTGGAACCTCGCATCTGAGGAACCATTTAATTAGGTGTCAAAGAAGATCTAATCATGGCATATCACAATACTTTTCTGCTAAAGAGAAGTAAAAGGAAGGTTCTCTTGCCTTTGTAAATATTGGTCGAGCAGAAGAAGGACGAAGTCCTTAGTATTGTGAATCTTAGATATGAACAAGAACATATTAAAAATGAGCATGTTGGCATTGGTAGTAATAGCTTGGATCAAAGGCGGAGCCAATTTGATCTTGCCTGCATTATCATATTGCATAACTATCCGTAGGCTATGGTGGAGCATGCCTGGTTCAAGATATTTGTCCGGAATCTACAGCCCTTGTTTGAACTTGTGACGTGTAATAAAGTTGAAGCTGATTGCATGGAAATCTATGTGAAGGAGAAGCAAAAGGTTTATGAAATTTTTGATAAGCTGCCTGGAAAATTCAGTGTATCTGCTAGTATGTGGACTGCTTCAGATGGTGCTGCTGCATACCTGAGTTTGGCAGCACACTATATTGATGAGGATTGGCAGCTAAAAAAGAAGATTTTGAATTTTGTTACCATTGGTCCCTCTTTTACAGAAGACAAGCATTCAGAAGTTATAGTGAATTGTCTGATGGATTGGAATATAGATCGGAAGTTGTTTTCTATGATATTTGACAGTTTTACTAGTGATAACATTGTTGATAGAATCAGCTATCGGCTGTCGCAAAGTAGGTTCCTTTATTGTAATGGTCAATTATTTTATGTTCGATGTGCTATAGTTCTTCTCAACTGCATGGCTCATGATGCCTTGGAAGCTCTCGGTGAAGTTACTCAGAAAATAAGGGCAAGCATTCATTATGTTAAAGGCTCAGCAGCAACACATGCCACATTCAATGAGCTGGCTGATGAAGTTCAGGTTGAAACTAAAAAATGCTTATGTATTGATAACCCAATGAAATGGAACTCAACGTATTTTATGCTCGAAGTTGCCTTAGAATACAGGCAAGTTTTCTCTTGCCTACGAGATCATGACCCTGTCAACATGAAGTTTCTTTTATCTGATTTAGAATGGGATAGACCAAGTACCATTACGAGCTTCTTGAAGTTGCTAATGTTTTTGCAAGAAGCAAGTATCCAACTGCAAATATATTTCCCCCCTAGATCTGTGATATTCACTTGCAGTTGATCCAATGATGCAAGAATCCTGATGAATTTATCTGTTCCTTGGCTCTAAAGATGAGAAAGAACTTTGAAGAGTACTGGGATACGGGCAATGTAGGATTAGCTGTTGCAGCAATGTTAGATCCTCGATTCAAAATGAAGCTCTTGGAGTATTACTACCCACAATTATATGGCGATAGTGCTTCGGTGCTTATTGATGAAGTTTTCGAGTGTATTAGATCGCTTTACAATGAACATTCTATTGTCTCCCCATTAGCATCTTCCATTGATCAGGGACCGGATTGGCAAGCAAGTGGTACCCCCAGTTCCGCAAAAGATTATATGGATAGGTTAATGGGTTCCGACAAGTTCCTTCACGAAACTTCTCAAGCCGAGGGATCTAATTCTGATCTAGACAAGTACCTGGAGGAATCACTGTTTCCTCGTAATGTCGATTTCAACGTATTGAATTGGTGGAAGGTTCACACTCCAAGGTATCCTATCCTATCCATGATGGCACGTAATATTCTAGGGATTCCCATATCTAAAGTTGCATCAGAATCAAGATTCGACATCGGGGGAAGAGTGCTGGATCATAACTGGAGCTCATAGCCTCCATCTACAATTCAAGCCTTCATGTGTGCACAAGATTGGATACGGAGTGAACTCGATGGTTAGTTTTCGCTGACCTTGGATAAGGTGGGAGTGACCTTGTGAGGTTAGCATTATTTTTTGTCAATAACTTTCTCTCTCTGTTGCATTTAAAGAAGTTGTATGGGTAATTATGATCCAACTCCATATTAATTCCTATTGTAAGTGAATTAGTTGTACAGTGTACTGAAATGGCCCTCCCTCTCTTGTTGGCTGTGTCATTAACACCATAAAGTGAGCTTGACATGGAAGTTGCAGGTTGGGTATAAAGATGGCATCTGGCTTGCAAGTAGCTCGAATGCTTTCTGAGAAAAAAAAAAACTTCAATTTGGTTCAACAATGCCTCGAATTCTAGTGTGGTAATGTCAGATTCGAATAGCACGTTTAGCTTAGTTTTCGTATATTTAATTAGTTCTTAATGGTTACATGCTGCTGGGTGTGAATATGGGTCAATTACAAATGTTAAGGATACAAACAAGTTTTAAATATTCTTAAAAATATTTTATTGAAAACGGTGTCGATTGATGAGGGATTGCTAGACGTCCTAATGTAATAGTTACTAGATACACGTGGAAACCATGCACCAAGTTATGTAGTAATTCAGAACAATATTTTCTTCTCTATGCAATAGTTGCCAGATTTGACCCTAAAAACAGTATAATGACCTAATGGAGGGCTAAACCCTATGAAGAGGAGAAAATTAACAGGAGAAATGTCCGGCTCCAAGAACTTCGTGTAGAAATTGCATACGTTAATAGGAACCACCGACTATTTTAGCCTACTTGTCGGCGATTATCTAAAAGACACGTGAGATGTTGGTTTGAAACTCTAAAAGACACGTGAGATATTGGGTTGTTTCCATTGAGAACAAAGCCATGACATGCCATTCAAGGCTAGTGATAATAGTAAGTGATTCGGTGTGTTCCTTGCCTAATATGATTTTGGTTGATTGTATTCATGCATGTATGCTTGACATGATAGTGTTTTAATTACTCTATTTATTTTCTATTGGATCGTCTTAGTGCATGATTGCAGAATTGTACGTCCATATACGTTATTTGATAAACTTGAGTAAGGAATACCTATGCATGCATTTTCTGTTTATCGTTTACCATAACTTTAACTTGATGATGTATAATTTACTGATGTATATTGAAAGGACACTCGTCATGTATGTTGCATTGGGTTAAGTTTGTGAAATTATCGAATAATAGACTAGTTCATCCTTATTGGATGAGAATGTCCAATAACCGAATAGAAGATTGGTTCATCCTTAGTGGATGGTAACGTTCAATAACCTAATAACAAGGAGGTTCATCCTTATCGGATGATAATATCTAATCATTGAGTAATTGTTTCGCGATGTAGATGAGGTAGTAGTTTGTTTTTATTCCATATCGAATATGATGTTATGTCTAAATTATCGATAGTTTGTGTTGTTTGACATACATTTAGAGGACATACTGAGTTCTATAACTCACTTTAATTTTTTTTTCCTTTTCAGATTCTCTTAATTGTTAGGATCGTTTTGATACTTGAAGGATCGTTTTGATACTTGAAGGATCATCAAGTGATTTTTTTTTCATTCTACACAATATGATTATTAGCGGACTTTAATTATATTCAAAAATCTTTTATCGAATTTTTAAATTATATATTTAGAGTTAAAGGATACTATTTTATGGATTTTGGACTATATGATTTGATATGCATTACTTTATAAATATATGAGTTTTTAATATTAATTTTTATGAGTTTGTCAACTACTGCTTATTTATATTATATTATTCTTTAATAATTATTAATGGTTCTTAAAAATGTTTTGATTTATAAAGTTCTGTCACAGTGATCTTCACGATTCAACGATAACATCTAGATTGAATTTAAGGGGTTACAATAAACAACGAATAGATGAGAAAATTAGACTTAATTAATCACACTTAGAAGGCAAATTAGAATATGAGAGAGGCCATGATAAGTTTACTGGCAGACGCGAAACCCTATCTCCTCTCTTTCGCCCATCCATCTAGCGTTGTCACATGACGCCTAAGACAGTAAGACACTAAGTATCTAAGCAATTTCTTCTCCTTTTCATTAAGGTGATCCTGTAACACCCCAATTTTTAGGCTAGTAATTTTGAGTTTACCTGAGAGGTAAGTGGACCTCATGAGATTCATAAGTAAAGTTGTTGGGCTTAATTGAGTTTGGATTTGGGCCCAATTAGCCTTAAAAAGGGATTCTTTATTATGAGACAAAAAGCAAAGGACTAAAAGTGTAATTAGACCATTGAGGAATATGGAAACTAATTTTGGGGGCTTTTATTTGTTTAGGACATGGGTTCCCATTTCTCATCTCCTCTTTTTTTTATTTCTTCTTTTTTCCTCTCTAAGCCTCCATATCATCACGTGGTGCTAAAAAATCATTTTTTTCAACTTTATTAAGTCTCAAATATGTCCCTCTTACTCCCTATAACATTATTTTGTTAAGGAAATCCTTGCATTTTTGTGGCTAGAGGAAAAAAAGGGAGAAAATCAATCAGGTTAAAAAAAGGAGGTGCTCGCTAGTTAAGGGAGGTTCATTTTGGGTTTCTAAAATCAATGTAGTGTATTTCAAATCCTTAGGAGTATTGAGCTTTCACAAATCTCAAGAAATTGCTAAGATTTGTGTTGTTGAGCATTTAGGGTTTCAACTTTGATTCATGCCATAAATCACAAATTTGTTGTTCATTATGTGTTTTATGACACCTTAAGATCCTAAATAACTACACAAAACTTCAATACATGATTTAGACTCAAACTATGACATTTAGGATGAATTTTGAGTGTTTCTCGAGCCTAAAATAATCATTTATGGGTTTTAGCATTGATACTAGGATGAACAATATCAATACTGGTTAAATTGGGGCAAAAATTAGGGATTTCGATCGGGAGTATCGATATCGATACTTAAGGTGATCGTATCGATACTGAGACCCTATTTTCATAACATAATACATTTTTGGTACGTATATTCATAGGGGTTGTAACACCCCGAATCTCGTGTTAAAAGTTTTAGGCTAACCTGAGAATGAGCCTTGGATTAATTTCTAGCTTGTAGGAGGTTTTGACCCAAATTGAAGTGGATTGGGCTTTAGATAAGCCCAAAAGAGGCTAAAAGGGTGTTTATAGGTTGTAGCTAAAACCAGGAGGACCCAGAGTGCAATTAAACCCCTGTTAAAAAAAGATTGAGTACCATTTATAAAATAGTGATCCCATGTCTGATTCCCTACTACTATTTTCTTTTCATTTGTCTTCTTTTCCCCCAAGCTCCATTCTTCTTCATATTCTTCCTTAGTTTTCTAAGTAAAAGGTGAAACCTTTATGGAAATTCAGACTCTTTTCAATATCCAAGAGGTAAGAACCTAACTAGGGATGGGTATAGGACCCGAACCCAACGTTTTCTGACCCGACCGATCGGGTCGGGTTTTCTTAAAAAATTCGTGTTCGGATCGGTTCGGGTTAGGTTTTTTTAAAGGTAGGCCTGTAAACAAACCGAACGCACACGAACAGAGTTATGTTCATGTTCGTTCATTTAATAAATAAATGAACATAAACGAACACGAACATAAACGAACAATTTTTTTTTGTTCATGTTCGTTTATTAAGGAATATAACTTGTTCATGTTCGTTCATTTAATAAATAAACAAACATAAGCAAACACGAACATAAACAAACACGAATATAAATGAACAGGAACATAAACGAACATAAACGTTGGAGACCCTACCTTCCATTGTTCTTTCATGAAAAATAGTCGAAAATGCAAATCAACCAAATCTACAGTGATAAATAGCGTAAGAGCTGATTAGCAGTGATGAAATGTTTGAAGATATCAAATATTTTGATCGATCTTTTAAAGATATTAAATGATTCACATGACTTTAATTTAACGATATAACATTTATCTTAGTGGTCCATGATTACATATGAACAATCATTTTCCACTACATTATTCTAATAAATTCGCCGGCTAAAAGTTTTGTGACATCAATGTCGGACTTTAGTGAGGTTTGTTAATAATGGTCTTTTCCGTTGGCAGAGTAGAAAATTTAACATCATGAAGATTTTGAACGGTACAAATTGGACTACAAGGCAATAACATAGATCCGAAATCCCTTCGATGCTACATATCGTAACTGATATTATTGCTAAACCACCATTCAAAATTTTAACGTACCTAAAGTCTACTCCACAACTAAAGGTCACACAAGAACTATGAAAACAAAAGTTCATTGTCAAAGTGTATTTTCTACTTATTAATGGGTTCTTCCTAGAAAACCCATTACTTCCGCTATTACACTATTTTGCAGAAATTGCATAGAAACCTTTGTTTTGTTTTCTGGCAAATTCTATATATTTTTCTCTTTACTGATGCTCATATACTTCCGATTGTTACCTTTATCTTCCCATTTATTTCTAGAAAGAAGTATGATGTTTTCTTGAGTTTTAGATGTGAAGATACCCGCAGTAACTTTACATATCAACTATTAAGCCAAATAAAACAGAGAAAGAGATGAAAACATACATGTAAAACTTCAGATTGCACTATAATATAACTTGTTTTGAAGCTTTCAGCAATCGTCTCCACTCTCTAGTGAACACTAGGGTTTGGGAAAAAAAGGGGAAAATGAATATAGGTGCGAGGTGCCTCACGGGTTAACATATTGGATTTAATCTCCAAATAAAATTGGGTTAATTATGAAATTGATCATCAGAATATCATATTAATTAATATTTTTAAGATACTTACAAATTGGTCACCAAAATTGATTTAAGAAGATTGGGTTAAACATAAATGAATGAACATAAACGAACATAACCGAATGAACATAAACGAACATAACCGAACGAACATAACCAAACGTTCACGAATGTAAATGAACGAATGAGACCTATGTTCATGTTCGTTCATTTAATTAAACGAACACAAAATCTTGTTCATGTTCGTTCATTTAATAAATAAACGCACATAAACGAACTTCCCGCCGCACGGTTCATGAACGGTTCGCTGAACGTTCAGTTCATTTACATGCCTATTTAAAGGTGATATTCGGGTCGAGTTAAATTCTAGTTTATGGTGAAAAATACCCGACCCGACCCTAAAAAATATAATTTTACCTTATGTATTTAGGAATAATTATAATAATACCCCTTTATATATTATTTTTTCAATTAAATTACTATTTTTATTGAATAAAATAATGTTTTTTTATTTTATTTTGGGTCGGGTCAGGTAGGGTTCAAATTTTATCTCAA